GTGTGAGAGTCTGCTCTGGTACCATAGGCTGGGGAAATGGGAAATCCAGCGAAGCGATCGGCGACACCAAAGCGGGGGAAGCGCGGCAAAGGGGCATCTTCTGGTGGTGCTGCTCCAGCTGCGGCGCTGCAGTTGCCACCGCCGCCACCGCCGTTTCTATGTCTCTCTCGTGGCAGCGTGTATACACCCGAGCCAACAACGCTTGATGTGACTGTTACGGTTCCCCTGCAACAGTTGCAGAACCGTGCGGGCGTATATGATGCGGTGCTGCGCAGTGTCCTGCATCGCCTCCACGGAGCGCCGTCCTCATCAAGTGAGGACCCTGCCGCCGTGATGCACCGCACAGTGGTGCACGTGGAGTCGATCACCATTCACACAGACTCCGCGCGGCAGGCGAGTCACACCGGGGACGTGCAGCTGCGTGCCACCGTCGCGGCGGTGCTGGCCTGCGTGAAGCATGGCCTCCTCTTCGGCGTCGCGGAGTCAAGTACGTACACCGACACCATGGTGGTTCGAATACGCTGCGAAGACCCTGAAGGAGCCGTGCAGCAGAGAAATGGCAACACCAAGAGCAAAGACGAGGAGGGCGATGCTGGGACAACGCTGGTGACGGCACGGTGTCTAGAGGAGGAGCCGGTGGCCGTGGGGCAAACGGTGCTGGTCGTGTCAGAGCCTGGGACGCTGCGCTGTCTCGCTATCCGCCCACCGCGAAAGGCGCCAGGACCCTTCAAGCTACACGTCGAGAACGGTGTGGCAGAAATTCTGGCGGATTGGCCCGAAAAGAAGAAAGGGCCTCGCCGCGATGAAGCTGCGTGTACTTAAGCAACTTCAAACAAACAAACAAAAAGAACCACCACAACCACCACGACAGTCGAGAGGCGAGGAGGTGATTTCGTTCCGCCTCGAGTGCTCGCTAAGCGATTAACACAGCAACACCATCAACTGTTGGATGCGTTGCGGAAGAGGTTCTGCCATCTGAAATGACGCATGGCTTCGCCGGCTTTGTTTACCCTATTTGCAAAAAAAAAAAGGCTTTCATCTTTTTTTTTCTGTTCTCTAGAGGCGGAGACAAGGCTGACTCTTTTTTCTCTTGTAGGCACACACACACACACACACACACACACACACACACACAAGTACACAAGCACATAGTCGAAAGTTAGTGTAGCTTTTTCCCACCACTGTTCTCCTCCTTGACTACCATCATTATTCAAAAAGTATGAACTACGACTACGAGGGCTACCCCCTCTACAGTGAACGCCGCGCGCCATACGTGCACTATGGGCCATTTGAGATACTTACTTTCCTCATGAGCTGTGCAATGGGAGTAGCGATTGTATTCAGTCTCTCTTGTGCGATCGGCTACCTAGCAGACCTCGCGGAGGAGTTCCCCACGCGTGCGAAGAAAATATTACACACCATGACGATTGGGGTCTTGGTGATACATTGCCTCATCCTTCTCGTGGATCAGCTTAGCTGGTGGCGCTCTTTCATTAGCATCGCGACAAATGTCTTGTATCTTCGCATTCTGGCCAACTTTCCTCACATCTCACCGACTCAACCGTTGGCGCTCATAACGGTTGTGGTATTGATGGTGGAGATGGTATCATGGTACACGCTGCTTGCCTTATCCCACGAGTACTACGGAATGGTGGGAGTCACGAAGATCATTTCCTTCGTCACGTTCCTGTGGATGGTGCCGGTTGGTCTCGTCATCTCGCTAGAGCTGGAGCCGACTGGGCTACCAGGTAGCAGCCTCGGTGCAACGTCGTCGCGTCACGCCGATATTGCTGCAGGTGGGCGCAAAACGACGATCGTAAAGGTGGTGAAGAGCTGGTTTGCTCTTCAGCCAGACAAGTAGGAAGAGCACCTAGCAGCAAGTGTATGCCTATGTGTCTGTGCCTGCCTGTCTTGTGAGGTTTGTGTGTTATATTCGGCTGATTGAGGAACAGCATGAGTGTGGGTGCAGTTCGGAACTCGCTCGTAGTGTGCGTACACAACGGGAAGAAGTGTGGTGTAGAGCCGAAAGACTATGCACCAAATGAATGCGGCCTCTCATTTATGGATGTGCGACTCCTCCGCTGCGGCGTTAAATAATTGCCCGTTGGTTGTTGTTTTTTGGTGTTATGCCTTTGAGACTGCTGAAAGTGTCGGGCAATCTTTCCTTCTACTTGGGTTGTATACACTTTTATTCGATCTTGTTTTGCTTTCCTAGACCCTCGCAGAGAACAACAACAACAAAAAAGAAACAACGAAATTAGCAAGGAAGTATAGAGGGAGAGACCCAGGAGGGAAGAGAGTATAGTGGGAGGAGAGCATACCATCAGAGAGGTGTGATGTCATTTAAGGCTGGAGATCTAACGATTCGGGGGGCGGCGAATCCCCCGCCACCGCCCTCACTCAAGGGCGTGAAGTTCGGCACCCTCTTCACTCCACACATGGTGATGATCGACTCGGTTTCGGAAACCCAATGGGGTGCACCGGGCATTGTGCCATTTCAGAACCTATCTATCCCGCCACAGACAGCCTGCCTTCACTATGGCCTCCAGTGCTTCGAGGGTCTCAAGGCGTACAGGGATGCGGCCGGTAGAATACGGCTCTTTCGCCCAGAGCGCAACTGTGAGCGTCTGCTTCGGAGCATGCAGCGCCTCTGCTTTCCCAGCTTTGATCCGAAAGAACTGCTAAAGGTGATCATGGAGTTCGTCAAGGTGGAGAAGGATTACATACCCACAGAACGTGGTTACTCGCTATACCTTCGGCCGGCTGCCATCGGCTTCGGCAACACTCTGTCTGCGGCACCGTCTCCACAGGTGAAGCTCTTTGTGATCGCCTCACCTGTCGGACCGTATTACGCCTCCGGTATGAAGCCCGTGAAGTTGCTGGTGGAGGAGAAGCGGAAGCGTGCGTGGCCCGGTGGAACGGGCGATGTCAAACTCGGCGCCAACTATGCTGGTCCTATGCTGGCGCAGAAGGAGGCCGAGGCGCGTGGGTACCAACAGGTGCTTTGGCTGGGGCCTGATGGTGAAGTGGAAGAGGTTGGTGCAATGAACTTCATGTGCCTGTGGCAGCCGTCAAGCGCAAAGCCCGACCTGGAGCTCATCACCGCCCCGCTTGACGGCTCCGTTCTTCCAGGCGTTACGCGCGACTCCATCCTGGCATTGGCGCGGCAGTGGGGTGAGGTGAAGGTATCGGAGCGAAAATTCACCATTGAAGAACTCGTCGATGCTCTGAAGGAGAATCGTGTGATGGAGTGCTTCGGCTGCGGAACCGCGGCGATTGTCTCCCCTGTTGAGGCCTTACGATTCAGGGATAAGGAGTACAATGTGCCGTGCCCAGAACCTAAGAAATCTCACACTCATCGCATGCTTAATGCCATCATGGACATCCAGTACGGTGTGGTGGAGCACGAATGGTCGCATATTGTTCAGGTGTAACTTCTGCGCCCTTGATAGTGCCAAGGGAGTGGATGGAATAGCAACTGCTTGCGAACAACGAAAAAAAAAAATAGCAAGACGGAAGGAGACATCACCGTGATTATTAGAGATATGAACTCTCTTGTAGACTGCGTGTTGATAGCGAAAGAAATAAGGGATTTGCGCAATCTTTCGTCCAGTGAGATGATGTTCCGTGTTGGTTGGCTTAATCTTTTTCATTGCTCATGGTGTTGCTCGTATTCTTTAATTATTCTGTTCGGTTTCAAATTTTTTTTTTTTTTT